ATAATACAGTAGCGATATTTAACCGTAATTAGTAGGGATGGGAAGTGCACTGATTTGATTTTATCGATAACAATGTAATTTCGGATCACTGTATTTTTTTATTAAGTATAGCAGATGACGTCCATTGACGAATGTGATAATGTCACATTCGTCTCTGTGATTTGTGATATTTTAGTCCGGTTAAGGAAATACTCTACAAGGCTGTCCACCTACGTCGCTGTATGCCTGCAGCGAATACTTACTTATTTTGGCCACATTGCGCGTAGAGACCCCAACAATCTGGAGAAGCTTGTGGTTGTTGGTCGGGTTAACGGGAAAAGACCTCGTGGTCGCTCACCTACCCGGTGGTTGGATGCTGTAAAAAACCTGACAGTTCCACAAGGCCTGACAGTTCCACAAGCCATAAAGACCGCAGAAGACAGAGGCTTGTGCATCAAGTGACGCGTGCACCAGATTAGACACGACCGTCAGTAATGAAGAAGACGACTAGGAAGAAGAAGATAGGAAACACCCACATCTTGGACTAAACACTATAAGGCTCATTGTCGTAGTAAGTTCTTCATAGTGTATTGTAACTATATTGACTTACTGTGCCCAGCTCATACCGAGTTGGCAAACACTTTTGTCATGGGCATATTGCCGCTATGTTGTTCTTTTTATTATTTTATTTATATTTTTTGTTGTTGTTTTTCAATGTTATTTTATGATTGCGTATTTAGTGTACTATGCATAATGGCAAATAAATTAAATTTCTTACTTTATTTTCTTCTTTCTTCTAACAACCCAGAATTCAATTTTTTTAGACCGTTATTTTGTTTTTATTTTCTTAATAATAAATAGAATCAATTTTTTTTCTTTTTCAAAAGGAGATATTAGAGGCAACATTCATACCATTATGAGAACAACAGTAACAGCTTTACCTCAGATTATATTAATTATTATTAAATGTCAATCACCTCAAGCCAATTACAATAAAACATTTCAAAAAACCTATTCCTATCAAGAATATTAAACATAGGCTAATGCTTAGAATTTAAATATTTTTTTCATAAAACTCGTAAAATATTTTAATTAAGCAAAGCAAAAGTAAAGATTTATAACTGGAGCTATAAATTATTCTCAGATATAACCCGTGATAGCGGGAACTTTGAGATTTGAAGATTTTTCTCTAAACCTTGTTTTATTTGAAGGGAAAAAATCTTAGAGGTACTTATTATAATTCTTGAAAGCTAAATCTGACACCGTATTTGTCTAGATTAACGGCCGCGTTTGAGATTAAGATTTAAGGTACGTTTTTATTGTTTTAACCGACTTTTTCAAAAAAGAAGAATGTTCTCTAATTGTCATGTATGAATGTATGTATGTGTGTCGTCGATGAAGGTATGGAGTTGATCTGATGATGGAGTCAAGAGACAGCCGGCATTCATCGAGTTCATGGCACCGACTTCTCACCTATCAGTGGGTGGGTAACCTATTAGTACGTATGACTAATAATAGTTATTTTTTGCTGTTTAGTTTTGACCTTTTACTTGTTTTAATTTTGGTTTTCGAAGTCGGTTCTTTTTATTATGATCATCATCATCATCATCATCAACGGCCTATAAATGCCCACTGCTGAGCAAAGCCTCTTCTCACACAGAGAAGGTTTGAGCATTAATCACCACGCTTGCTCAATGCGGGTTGGCGATTACAAACTTATAATTAGAAATTATAAGCCCAGGTTTCCTCACGATGTTTTCCTTCACCGTTAGTCAGTGGTGTCTAAATCTTAGAAAGTACATATAACTCGGAAAAAGTCACATTGGTACTTGCCGTTGGTAGGTTTCGAACCCGCATTCTCATGCATGAGAAGCCAGCGTCTTAAACCTCCGGGCCACCACGACATTTTATTATGATATAGGTACATAATGTTTAGCTTTCATATTATATTACGTGAACGTGCACGTCCAATCACACCTATGGAAACAAATACAGTCTAGACAACGTATTCAATAAAAGAAAAGTTTTTGAAAGTATAATATTTCCATGTATGTCAGTTAATCAAGTAACTGACTTGAAAATATAGTCGACCTTGGATTCTTTTCGATATGATTGAATCATAATTATATTAGGACGCTCTGCTCACTTCTTATTGGTCGTAGCGTGATAATAAATTAGCCATCCAACACAAAAAGAATTATTCAAATCAGACTTGTAGTTACGGAGATTAGCGCGTTCAAACAAACAAACAAAACAACAAACTCTTTCTTTATATAATAGTTTTTTATGGCATAAGCCGGTAAATGAGCAGATGAATGACCTAATGGTAAGCAATCGGCGTCGCCCATGAACACCTGGAACACCAGAGGCGTTACAAGTGCGTTATCGGCCTTTTGGGGATTAGAAGTTTGAGGATCGTTGGGGATTCAGAAATTGGAGAGATTGGGAAAGGGGAGGGTAATAGGACCGCCAGTAACCTCACTTACACGACGAAACACTACGCAAGCGTTGCTTCACGTCGGTTTTCTGTGAGGGCGTGGTATCACTCCGGTCGAGCCGGCCCATTCATGTCGAAGCATGGTTCTCCCACACTTGAAACATAGTATAAGATTTTAATCAACTCCTAACATATTATAACCTACTTATATAGAATCTATGAATAAAAACCCACACAAATATTGACATTTGTATATTTATTTCTTCAGAAACAAATAATACTTAGTATTCAAGTTCCATACAAATTCAGGTCATGCATTTGGCGCAACTGTCTCAAGGCTATCCAAAATTTGTTAATCAATTTAACGCCATCTAAATTCATATGACATGACAAGGCCACAATTTGAATCTTAGGATGGGCAAAATATATTGTCGTATATAATTTAAATTTTATATTTTTTCGTAATAGAGATCTCTTGTATGATTTATGGCATTAATTTTGTCTGTTGTGTTGGTATTGATGTAGTTATTATTATCACGTTTGGTCTTAATGTGAAGTGACTGTATATAATATTTATAAATCCGTTTCCAATTAAATTCACTATTTTTTAAATTTTAATTCAAATTTGTTTATTGTAGACCACAGATTTGTACAAATATAGGTCTTAAATATATACAATTAAGTATATCAGCCATGTCCCGCCCTTTGGGCATACAAAAGTTAATTAAAACATAAATAAATCAACACGACGTACCCCTTCGGGGATAAAAGGCGTGATTTTTTATCCCCGAAGGAGAGGCAGAGTAACACCCACTATTTATGTTATGAGTCCAATGAAATAGGTGGTGAGCATATTGCCATATACCGGGCACAATTCCAGACTACAACTGAGATTTTTTTTAAAAAACCCTGTAATACTTTGCACTGCACTATGTGCCGTAATGTGCAACTCTGTCTACCGCTTCGGGGATAAAAGGCGTGATGTTATGTTATGTTAATATGTACTATGATTTTATACTAAAATAGATGCTTTATCTTAATAAAATTTTCTCAAAATAAGACATTTATTTTTGTATAGGTGTGATATAATTTTGTGCTTAAACAACCTATCACGGATACTCCAAGTGGCCTAAAATAATAACTTGAATTTTACACCGACGAAAATGGATTATAAAAAGTCGAAAGTTCTTTCAAACTTTTTAAACTAACTTTAATTTTGTTTTTGTTTTAAGCATTTATTTCAATTAAACCATAGTTTGGTACTTTTGAAACGTCAACAAATACAAAATAAATAATAGTCCGTCAGTGAAACTAGGTGAAGCTAGGTGCTCATTCCAAAAAGTAGATTCGAATGGAGAAGAACGAGCAAGAAACTCCATTCGTTACTCTTTTAATATCTTTGTTCAGTCATCTCCGAAATATTTTGTATTTTACCAAGATTTCCGTAAATACTAGAACAGTTTGTGTCATAAATACTTTTGACATGAAATCTCAACGTTTTTCGAATTGTGACGCGTTGTCACTTGTCAACAAAAAAACATTGGCTTGCAGCTTAATTAAAAATTCGAAATATTCGCAACAATTTGACTGCGATTCCGTCGTGTTGATTTATTTAACGAAAAGGACTTCGGGATTTTACGCTTATTTTCATGTTGCGTTGCGTTGGCCAGTTATTAAATTGAGTGTTGAAAAAACAATATTATTTTCGACGCATTACTGTTTTTAACCGAATAGTGATAGCAGTGTAAAGTTCTTTTTATCACCACCTCTTCTCTGCTTGTCTTGTAAAAAGCCAACTAAGGGACTATATTTAAAAGTCGAGTCGGGGTCATTAATGTAATTACTCTGTGCTGGGTTATGTGTGTGGAGACCAATGATACGCTCGAGAGTCTAATGCCAACTGTGTTTTATTTCATACCTTAAACGCTAGGTTACATACTGACGCTAAATTTCTTTAATGTATGTCTGTGTGTCCCCATACGACCATACGACCATACAGACAGCTCTCTCATAAGCTTGCAATTGTTAAACTGCGATGTCTAATCCACTTGTGAAGCGTTGAGATATTCAACTTTTTTTATATCATAAGTCAGTAAACGAGTAGACAGATCACCTTATGATAAGCAATCGGCGTTGCCCATGGACACCTGGAACACCAGATGAGTTACAATTGCGTTACCGACCTTGTGGGGATTAGGAGTTTGAGGATTGTTGGGGATTCAATGATTGGGGAGATTGGGGAAGGGGAGGAGGTAAAGAGCCTCCGGTAACCTTATTCACACGACAATACATAACGCAAGCGTTGTTTCACGTCGGTTTTCTGTAAGGCCGTGATATCACTCCAGTCGAGCATAGACATAAAATAAAATATTTATTTTTACTTTAAACATATTACCATACTTGTAGAAACAAAAACGACCCAATTAAAACACACAAACATACCTACTTCACAAACGTCGATAAATCATGAAAACCTTTTCCCATCCCTAGTCCTTGAAATCACGTAATTATCTTTGCCTTTGAAATCGTGTAATAAGGGATCGCATCATTATTCCAATCTGTTCCATCAAGTCAATCTGATAAGATGTTCAAAAATATTCTCCAGAAATTGGAAAACCCAAAGAGGCCGTTACTAGGGCCAAATGTTAAGGCCCTACAATTTTGGGGCCTATTGTTACCAAAAAATGTTTTCATGAAGTATTTTTACTTACTAATGCATTTATTGGTGACAATTTTCACTGCGACCGAACACATAGACGTGTGGTACGTAAAATCCGACTTGAATTTGTTACTGAACAATTTAAAAATTACAATGTTAGCGACCATGAGTGTGATAAAAGTATCAACATTTTTGAGCTGGCAAAAATATTGGATCAGCATCATAGAGTACGTCACAAGGGCTGACTTGAACCAACGCTTAACTGAAGATAAGAAAAAACTGGAACTTTTGAAGACATTTACGAAATATTGTCGAAAGATTACTTATCTGTATTGGTCGCTGATGTACACGACCGTGGTCATAGTCATAGTACAGCCGATCATTAAATATATTTCCTCGGAGACTTACAGAATGAACGTAAAAAATGGGACAGAGACGTATTTACAAGTTGTCAGTTCTTGGGTACCCTTCAATAAAAACACTATGCTCGGGTACTTAGCCGCTTCGGTTTATCAAAGCTATGCTGCGATATACGGAGGAGGTTGGATCACGTCTTTTGATACGAATGCTATGGTGATCATGGTGTTCTTTAGAGCTGAATTGGAACTGTTGAGGATTGATTGTGAAGATATTTTTGGGTCGGAGTCCGTCCCTGTAGAGCGTGGTGTAGCCTTGAAGAGGCTGAAAGATTGTCAAAAAAGGCATGTCGAGTTGGTCAAGTAAGTTACGTTATATATTACTACGGAATGGCGTGTTTTTTATTCAATCAGAATCAGATATTCTATCATATCTCAGGCGCGCAGGAGCTCAAAAAACTTAAATAATGATTCAAATTTAATTAGGCACAAATTAGTAAATCAAGCTTTTGCTTCGCAATATAAACTTATGAGTGTTTTTGCTATAAAAAGCGAATCAGTCGTAACTCAAGGACCTTAAGTTAGTGGTATGGTCCTTAAGTTACAACTGTCCGATGTGATGATGTGTTCTATACTTTTTTTAAAAAACATCATCTATATGTCTCTTTCGATCGCCTGTTCAATTGACGTACGTAAAAATCGTAGCAATGGCGTTTCATAGTCTCTGACTCTCCCCATGGGAGACAGGCGTAAAGTTATATGTATGTTTTGACCTAGACAGCAATCATGAAAAAATCTCAGTAAACATAATTCTACTACAAGTTTGAACCAAAACAGTTTGGACAACTTCAACCAGGAAGCTACTAACAGTTAGAAGATAAAATTATTCCACCACAACGTTAAATGCGAGTTCAAAATCTAAATTAACTTACTCCTAGTCAATCTAACTTGCACAGTTAAATTGTGAACGATAAATTCTTGTAACTTTGTTTACTGGTGAACGTATTAACTGGAGCAGTTTCGGATTACTTCGAATATGTACGAGTATGTGAGATTCTTACTTTGTTGTGGTTTTTGGTGTTTTGTTGATGTAATGTAAGGAGATTGGGTGACGCGAATGGTAAGAGCCATTGGTGTGAGTTTGTAAAGGAATAATGGACTGAATTTTGGTTTCTAAAAGTCTTAAATTCTGATAGACCTTGGTGTTCACAATCATTTGATTCTCTTATAGTTAATCAAGCGATCATAAACAAGTATAATTACAAGTATATATACACAATAAGTATTGCATGCTAAATGGCAGAATGTAGCTGATCAAATTATTTTATAATAACTACTGTAACATCTACACTTGACCTATATTCGCAATAAATGATTTGAATTTGAAAAAAAAACATTAATTAGGAAAGCAAATACGAAAAGAATCACTCAAAGATAAGTGGTTATTTTTGTATAAGCTTTCTTAACATAACATCACGCCTTTTACCCCCGAAGGGTAGGCAGAGGCATTACGGCACTTAATGTTATTATCACTGTACAATGTAACACCCACTTTTCACTATTGTATTTAATCAGTCCCGTATAATAGGGGGTCAGACTATTGTCATATACCGGGCACAATTCCAATCTTCGTGGTACCACTAAGGTTTTTTTTTAAACTCAGTATTAGTTGTCTCGACCCGGGAATGGAACCCGAGACCTCTTGTTCGGCAGTCGCACTCGGCCAACGAAGCAGCTTTCTTAACTATGGCATTCAAACTAAAGCAAACATACATCAATATACATTATTATAGAATTTATTTATTAAGTATATATACCTATGTATTTATGTAGTATTTATATTGTAGTGTACATTTCAATTATTTTTTAGTACCTAGATTTATAAAGTCTATTTATGTTATTGGTTTCTTATCCGATTTAACCCTATGGTTGACTGGGAGAGAATGCCATATGTCATTAATGTCCACCTTATGTACCATTACTTGTTTCTGGGTACATACATTAAAGTTTAAATAAATAAATAAACTATCTTATGAAAATTTAAGAAATATCCAAATACGATAAAAATAAACAAATGAAACCATCAGACTGAAATAATTTCAATCGTAGACCACAGTTTATTATATAAAAACCTAATTATTTACATTATATGGTTTACTAAGCAAAAAATGTTAATATACTAGCTCGCTATGTACCTAATATTTGTATAACCAGAATTTTTTTACATGAATTTGTTTGTAGTTCTTGTTATTTGTTCATAACTAAATAATATTAGCCTGTGTAATTTTTCTCGTTGACCGTCGACCGACAAACTGCCTCGTTGGCCGAGTGGTCGCAAGTGCTACTGCCGGGCAAGGGGTCTCGGGTTCGATTCCCGGGTCGGGCAAAGTATTACTGGGTTTTTAAAAAATCTCAGTAGTAGCACGGAGTCTGGAATTGTGCCCGGTATATGGCAATAGGCTCACCCCCTATTACGTGGGACTCATAACATAAATAGTGGAAAGTGGGTGTTACTTCTGTATGCACCTCTGCCTACCCCTTCGGGGATAATAGGCGTGATGTTATGTATGTATGTATGTAATTTTTCAGTATCTTTATTTAGTATTTTTAACACAATACTTTATTATGCTAGAATTTTATTCAAGCTAGTGATTGCGTTGAACATTATACATAATATATATTGAGTTCTTATCATTAGGTGAGGAATTTAGTCACTATTAATGTTTCGAAATTGCCAAGTAATCAGTCAAGCAATTTCGTAGTTGAAATCTTACAAACGGTTTAACAGACTTGGTTTTTCAATTGTCAGTTAATTTTTAACTAAATAAAATTGACATAAATATATGTAGACAGTTTTCAGTATTAAAGAATTGTCAAATATTCGAAGTTAATTCTCGGTAAAAATTTATCTATCGTTGGAAAAATCGATCCTCAGTCGTCTAAGTTACGGAGCCGCTGATGATTTAACGGGTTCTCAGGGCTCCGGCACGAAGGGCTGGAGTAGGAACGGAGTGGTTTTTAGTCAGTAAGAGTCTGACTCTCCCTCCCGCCTCAACCAAGCGGGAGAAGTCATTTGATGAATGCCCCCATTAAAAAAAGTCGTCTAATGCCGGAATACTGAAACGTTACTCAATTTTAAGTCGTGCTTGAATATCGTGCTATCTCTGTCATTTTACAAAGAATTAGTGGTGACAGATCTATACTTAAGCTTGACTTAAAATTCAGTAATGTTTCAGTATTCGGGCATAAGTGTAGGTAAGGTTTTTATCATGTAGCTGTATTGTTAAGATCCTGCAGCTGTAGCCAAATGCCATTTAACGCTTGTCTACATGTAGAATAGAAAACTAAATTACATGGAATTGACGTAAATTTTGACACTTGTCAATGTCATCCCCATACATTTAGTTTTCTACTCTCTCTGTAGACAAGCGCTAAAGTGGCGTTTGGCTGAAGGCACTGGTTTGCTTTTGTTTTACAGATACGCTCGCCTCTTCGATTCCTGTTTGTCACCAATAATGTTACTGTACATGTTTGTCTGTTCAGTTATGTTGTGTGTCACTGCCTATCAAATCACTGTAAGTAATTTTTATTCTTTTTCTTTTTTTAAAGTTGCCCACATTAGGATTTTCTACTGTGTCGTGAGTGCGTTTACAAATAATCAATATCACATACACATGACACCCAGAGCCGAAACAACAATTTGTAGATCACACAGGGAAATGCAGAAATCGAACACGCTATACGTTGCACGGCAGCGGGTTACCCAGCCAATGCGCTAACCAATGTGTGAAATGTTACGTAGCTTGGTTAGTTACACTAAAGAAACAATTACACAAATAAGCTGATGTGCCTAATTTTTATTTTATTGTAGGTAATTTTGGTATAGTCAGTGTAGGTAACTGTGCGAATTATATAATTTATTTACATCTTAAAATAAACCTAAAAACTAACACAATTACATTAACAAATCTATACACACACACTTACATACATTTATATACATATTTACATTTTGTACGGAATACATAATACACCCTTACCAGTTGGTCGATAAAAATTCCATCGATAGTCGATAATTATAAAACTATCAACTGAACCCTCATTACTAATTACCAACATAGTTATAACTATCGATAGCTACCGATGACCGCTTACCGATGCGTGTGCGCATATCTGTCAAACCAGTCTTGCCGAGATTTTGTTACGACGCGCATAGATAATTATTTCACTTGCTTAACGCTGTAAAAACTACACTAATTCTATCGCAAATATCTTCTATCTATTCCTTACTACTTCTAATACTGACTGTCTTCTCGCTATCTCTGTGCTCTGCTTATTTATGTGCTTGTGACTTTCCTACTGCGCCTTCTGTACTACACGTGTGTCGGATCCATTGAATAAACTTGGTATTACGTGAATCGAACTTTTATTTACACCACGAAATACCCGACACCATCAGACTACTCATCTAACAACCAAAGTCAGTTATATATATAGTTTCAGGATGACTCATCAATACATAATAATAAACGTATTATTATTCACATTTGTAACTTATGTACTAATAGTATTTTGATGTAACTTATGTTCCAGATCGAGACAAGTCCAATGCAAAGATTCTTGACGACGGAATATCTTGTTTTTGGGATTGCACAACTTTTTATATACTGCTGGCATAGCAATGACGTCTTGTATGCTGTAAGTATAAAGAAAGGATTTGCAAATTGTGTAATTCATGTTAAAACTTTTTAGTCCCCGAGAAAAGTATTTTAGTGTTTTTATAACAACTATCGTAAGTCATACTAAATTAACTAAAATCGCGGGTTACTCACGTGAATATAATGAGGAAAGCTCTACTAGTTTTGAACTACAGAGGGGCTCTTCCTTCGGCATGGTGCCCGACAGAGGGCGCGTTGGCGCTCGCATCGATGTTGCTACTTGCGCTGTGAGCCCAACGCGCCCTCTGTCGGACACCACGAGCGTTTGTTTCCAAATCCAACGACGATGTTAAAGCGCACGGTACGTTCACAAACGGCGCGAGTAGTAGGTTTGATTCTGGGTTCGGCACAAAATCAGTATTGCATATAACGCTTACTGTGTCACACTCGCCGCGATCGCGCACACTACTCACGAGGAAGAACCCCTCTGTGGTTCGAAACTAATAGAGCTTTTCTCAGTATATTTAAGTGAGTAACCCGCGATTTTAGTTAAAGTAATGTAGTATTTGTCTTCGTATTATTTATAATTATTATGTTTTCCAGCTTATTCACATAACTGTTTGATGAGGAACTCGACTAGTTTCAAACCATTTTAGAGGCTTATGTTCATGAGCAGCATTCTGCGACATACGATGCGGCGACGGTCGCGTTGCTGCTGAACTTTTTTTATGGGTTAAACCGGCAAACGAGCAGATGGATCACCTGATGGTAAGCAATCGGCGCCACCTATGGACAACTGAAATACCAGATGCGTTAAAAATGCGATGCCGGCCTTTTAGAAATGGATAATTTGAGGATTGTGGGGGATTGGGGGTGTATGGGGAGACTGGGGACTGGAGAAAGTGCGTTGCTGGCCTTTTGAGAATCGGAAATTTGAGGATTATGGGCGATTAGAGAGACTGGGGAGGGGGTAATTGGACCTCCGATAACCTCACTCACACGACAAAACACAACGCAAGCGTTGTTTCACGTCGGTTTTCTATGCGGCCGTGGTATCGCTCTGATCGAGTCGGCCCAATCGTGCCGATGCATGGCTCTCCCACATTTATATATTAACCATAGAACTGACTGTATTATAGGTACTAAATTAATTGGTATGTTTATTATCTTTTATATTGTTTCAGAGCGCAGACCTTATGCTAGGTCCATATGAGAGTACTTGGTGGTCCAGAAGCGCGCAGTATCGTAAAGATCTTTATCTTTTGGTAGCACAATTCAATAAGAGTATTGTCTTCTCAGCTGGACCATTCTCGAAGTTGACTGTCGCTACTTTTATCAGTGTAAGTTGGTCTTTTAATCGTTTTTTTGTTTTTTTTTTAAAAAAAAACACGTTGCCCCACACTAGGATTATCTCCTGTGTCGTGGGTGCGTTTACAAACATACAAGTTCACATACATATGACACTCAGACTCGAAACAACAATTTGTGGATCACACAAAGTGTTGTTCCGTGCGGGAATCGAACCCGCAACATGTTGCACGGCAGCCGGTTGCCCAGCCACCGCACCAACCGTGCAGTCATTTTTTTTTTAATTATTTTTGTGTGGTGAGTAATATATCACATTGATATTTAATGCACACACAACTTCAAGCCTTATATCCCTGTAGGGGTAGACAGAGGTGCTCACAGAAGTAACACCCACTGGGGGTGAGCCTATTGCCATATAGATATTTAATGTTATTTTTGTAATTCTTTACTTTGTTAACGACCTTCAAAAAGAAAAAATAATGAGGTTCTCAATTTAACCTGAAGGTATGCATTGTATATTTGTATGTGATTGACTGCCTCGTTGGCCGAGTGTTCGCAAGTGTGACTGCCGGGCAAGGAGACTTGGGTTCGAATCCCAAGTCGGGCAAAGTATTACTAGGTTTTTAAAAATAAGTCTCAGTAGTAGCATGGAGGCTGGAGTTGTGCCCGGTATATGGCAATAGGCTATAACATAAATAGTGAAAATGGGTGTTACAGTGTACAGTGGCATAATGTTGTTAAAATATTATCAAGATGTAATACGCCCTCGATCTAATAAATTAAAAATAGTTTTTAATAACTTCTTGTCTATTGATAAAAAAAAATTAATTATGTGTATAGTTGATATGATCCTCAATCGCTTTAATATACTTCACTTTATAAATAAACGTTTGAAATCAAAGAAGATATTGAAATTACTAAAATTCCACGAAAAATTAATAAGTACGACCGACCTTTGTATACACACAACGGCTATTCAAGCTATACTTCTCCAGTCCAAGCTTGGTCTCTGACTCAATAGCTAATGTATGCTACACAAGGTCAACTTATACTAGATGTTTTGTTTGATAGGATACACATTTTTCTCGAGTAACTAAACTCTAGAATATTATTTTATTAGAAAAAATTATTATTTGCAATAGGGTAGTTTCTTAAATTTTTATTTTAATGTCCGTCTGGTACATTAATTTAAAACTTTAGATACGTATTTTTTCTTTTCTCACAGTATTAATTACTTTCGACGATATATTAATTAAATATATCGTGTGACGTCACAGCGTGTCACATTTTGTAGCACGTTATGACGTAACGACCTCCCACTCCTAAACTTAGCGCCATTTTATTTAAGTATTGCAACTTAATACGAGAAAATAAAAGATACGTGTCTAATATTTTTTCATTATTTAACTGACGAACTAATTAGATTTTTAATTTTGATACCGTGGAAACTACCCAATTCAAAATAATATTAATGTAGTAGTTTCTACCCGCTAGTTCGCCTGCGTAAAACAGTGACTATAAGAAGATATGTTCTTCCAATTTTATGAAACAAATATACCATATATGGCTGCCTCGTTGGCCGAGAGGTCGCAAGTGCGACTGCCGGGCTAGAGGTCTCGGGTTCGATTCACTTGTCGGTCAAAATCGTTCAGGATTTTTAAACAAACTTAGTAATATCATGGAGTGTGGATTCGAACCCGAGGCCTCTTGACCGGTAGTCGCACTTGCGTCCACTCGGCTAAAGAGGCAGTATTTATAATTTCTAGCCCAAAATAATATGATCGTATGGTTTTCAGATTTTAAAGGGTGCGTATAGTTACTACACGCTGCTGAGTCAGTCTCAAATGAAATAAAACGAAATTAGAAGATTCCAGTTGTAATATGAGAGCTACGAGTGGATAATTATAAACGGAGTGTTTTTTCAAATAATTATATTATACTAGCTTTTACCCGCGGCTTCGCTCGCGTCATAAAAGGATAAAAAGCCAATGTAACATATACCAATACACACAGCGCCATCTATACCAATACTTTTGTTTTCCCTCGGGAATATCAATTTTTTTCGGGATAAAAAGAACTCTATTATTTGATCCGGACGTCTAACTATACATCTGCAAAAATTCAAAGCAATCGGTTTAGTAGTTACGGCGTTAAAGTGGAACAAACAAACAAACTCACTTTCCGATTTATAATATAAGTAAGGATTATTTGTCTTGAATATTATTAGGCGCTTGTATAAATGGCATGTTATGGTATTTTAAAATTTGTACTCATTGTCATAATGCGCGCGCACTAACCTCCTCGATCGCGCGCTACTAGCTCGGGCGCACTCTCAACACAGCGGATAATATAGCTGGCTTTATCACCTGTATGCTGAGTGAGTTTTTTTTACGGCATAAGCCGGTAAACGAGCAGACGAATGACCTGATGGTAAGCAATCGGCGTAGCCCATGAACACCTGGAACACCAGAGGCGTTACAAGTGCGTTACCGGCCTTTTGGGGATTAGGATTTTGAGGATCATACGGGATTCAGGGTTTGGGAAGATTGGGGAAGGGGAGGGTAATTGGGCCTCCAGTAACCTCGCTCACACGACGAAACACAACGCAAACGTTGCTTCACGTCGGTTTTCTGCTCGGCCGTGTTATCACTCCGGTCGAGCCGGCCCATTCGTGCCGAAGCATGGCTCTCCCACACTTAGTTCACGAAGGTTACGTACTACATAGTTTGTAAGATATAGGGAGGTAAAATATAAGATTTTTTTCGCCTCTAATAATATCTTCTGATTCACTTCGTTGCGGGAACCAAGACAGTTACTCATGTCCCTGGGACGCTCCGGACTTCAGTGTTCCGGTGTTTTCATGGTTGTATCTACTTTAGATCCTGGCTTACAGCAGTTGCACCAGTTTTGGGAGGTTGTGGCGGGCTTGTCCCATTAAACATAACATGAGTACTTTATAGTAGAAAATATGTATACGTCTTTTGAAGTTTTGTCATGTAAGAGTTAATTTTATGTAAAATTACTTAGATTAAGTCTGTAGAGACAAATGTAATATGTGTGCAATAAATAAATAAATAAATGTTGTTTTTTTGCCATATTGATCCATAACATAACATCTCGCCTTTTTATCCCTGAAGGGGTAGGCAGAGGTGCACGTTGCGGCACTTAATGCCACTGTGCAATGTAAAACCAACTTTTCACTATTTATATTATTAGTCCCATTTAATAGAGGGTGAGCCTATTGCCATATACCGGGCACAATTCCAGACCCCGTGCTACCACGGAGATTTCTTTTTGTAAAAACCCAGTAATATTTTGCCCGACCCGGGAATCTAACCCGAGACCCCTTGCCCAGCCGTCGCACTTGCGACCACTCAGCCAATGAGGCAACCATATTGATATTAAGTGTTTTTGATTTTGTTTCAAAATAAAATTGTTACTAGATACATATGTAAACTGGATCTAACAACAAGCGTCTACACTACTCAATTTAACAGCATTTTTGGTCATGAAAACTAACTGATGTAAACATACATAATAATATACAAAATTTCACCTCAATCACTTGAAGTTAATTGCTCTAAAATTTAATTGCAAGATTCCATTTCACACACGTATATTATTCGTACAGGCGCACACACACACACACACACACACACACACACACACACACACACACACACAAATACATACATACATACGATGCAAGTTAAGTTAAGTATTTTGGTGTAAGTTTTCAGTAAAAGCTGATTGCAAATTTGCCACAGTGCTCAGTGTCGCAAGTTTAATTATATTAGTGAAGGAAACCACTCTTTGTGTGGTTCACCAATTATTCTTCTGGGTCCAGATCCAGAACAACATTATACTCAGGTCTGATGTGTTTTGTAAATATTTGTACCTCTATATGTAAATCGATCAATGCAAAAACCGACTTCAAAAAACCACAAACTAATAACAAACAAAAAGCAAAAAGTAATTATTATTAGTACCTACTGATAGGTTACTCACCTACACTTATAGATTAGAAGTCAGCGCCATAAGTTCTATACAAAATTATTCATTAAAACCTTAATAGATATCTAATTTACAATTTTGTGGCCATTAAGTTATATCATTATGATATGCGCTCATGGCACCGACTTCTAACCTACAGGCATATAACTCGGAAAAAAACACATTGGTACTTGCCGGTGGTATTTTTGATCCTGCACCCTCATGCATGAGAAGCGGGCGTCTTAAGCCTTCAGGCCATCAGTAATACAAATATCAGCCACGAATTACACAATAAGGATTTTCTACGAATTCTTAATGGATTTTCAACACAATATTATGAATATATACGAATATAAATTGTATTATTTATAAATACAAATTTATTTTATGGTGTATTGAATAACAGACCTCATACATTATTTTATAAAAGAAATTATGATGAGTTTCCTGAATGTTTTGCTTCCAGGAAGCGTTTGGAAAATGAATATCGTTTTGGTATGTAGGTACCAACGTATTTATGAACGCGAAAATTTCACGTATTAAATTTTTATTATACCTATGAGAATGCATATTTTTACAATGCACATTACTTAACTAGCTACATCCACGGGGTTTCACGCGCTCTGCTCAGCTCCTATTGGTCGTAGCGTGATGTTTTATAGCATAGCCATCCTCAATATAAGCGCTATATACATATATATATATATATATATACAACACAAAAAGAATTATTCGAATCAGACTTATAGTTACGGAGATTAGCGCGTTCAAACAAACAAACAAAAAAACAAACTCTTCCGCTTTATATAATAGTATAAGATAGGATTAATTAAGTTATTTCGTTGACACTAGGAATTTATATTTCTGGTGTGTTCTTGGTTAATTTTTTTCTTTATATCACGGTGGCAAAGAAGTACAAGACAGCCTATATGATGGCTACCGTGGCCTATTAACGCTTGCATCACTTGGGGTATTACATCTCTGTCTCGATTGCTTCGTAGTGAAGTGGTGTGTGGCTTACTGTCGAGCAAGAGGCCTTGGGTACGATTCCTGGGTAGATCAAATAACTTTTGGGTTTTAATACAACTCAAAAATTCATAGCACGGACACTGAAGATTTCAAGCTTAACTCTACGACTAACACATGTGGTGAAAAGGAATTAGTTACTTTGTACAGATGCAACACATCAATATACTTCAATCTGTCAAATGTTTTCGTTTGATTTTCGAGTTTATATCAATGTTATAAAGTTAAAGTTGTAGGTAATAGACAACCTTAACCGACGAGCATGCATAAAAAGACTGATGACTGTTGATCAATATAATTATCGTCGAAAAAGTCTAATTGTGTAAGAAAAGAAATAATACGTGTCTTTTGTTATAAAATAATCTACTAGACGGACATTAAAATAAAATTTAATATACTACCCTCTTCTTAGTTCCTTAGTCTCTGCCTACCCCCATGGGAGACAGGCGTGAAGTTATGTATGTATGTATGTATGTATGTATGTACTACCCTCTTCATCATCAACAGACTAGCTATAATTGCCCACTGCTGAGCAAAGCCTCATCTCGTATGGAGAAGATTTGGGCATTAATCACCACGCATGCTCAATGCGGGTTGGTGATTTCAAACTTGTAATTAGAAATTATAAGCCCAGGTTTTCTCACGATGTTTTTCTTCACCGTTGATCAGTGGTGTCTGAATAATCTTAGAAAGTACATATAACTCGGAAAAAGCCACATTGGTACTTGCCGTTGGTAGGTTTCGTACCGGCACCCTCGTACATGAGAAGCGGGCGTCTTAAACCTTCGGGCCACCACGATACCTAACATTGTCTAATTACTGTAACATATCCCACACGCGGAGCGAATATAAAAACAAATTAATGGCACTTCAATCCTTCATTTTTATTATAATTACTGTTTGTTGGCCATAAAAATTCATATCGGGAGGGCGGAGGGATTAATATATTTTAAGCATTCACATCATGAACAATATTATGTTACGAATATGAATTGTGCGATGTTTTAATTCGCTTTTTTATTATTCCGTACGGAAATAGCGGCGTAATTGCAGTTTGATTTAGCTTGAATGCTTACGTCATGCGGATTTTAGCAAAATATATATGAACTAGCAGCCCGTCCCGGCTTCGCACGGGGTAGACAATTATTTATTTTTGGAAATTTGGATTGTTGTAGACATAATATCTACAATAGTTGGACATATGCTACCGCGGAGTTTTTTGTAGACATTATTTATTTATTTTATTTATTTATATATGCTTTATTGTACACATATATGTAGTTTAAAACAAACAATTCAAGTAAATATGCGTACAATGGGCGGTCTTATCACACAATGGTGATTTCTTCCAGACAACCTTTGGATGGAAATATTTGTAAGAAACCAGATAAGGGGTAGTTACGTGTACAATAAAAAAAAAAAAAAAAGTCAAAAAGACATTATGATGTTCTTCAATATTGTTATACATTATTTTGTTCTATCGCTAATAGTTTCGGCAGCGCATTCGACGAAAGATTTTAAGACTCATTTTTCTACACTTTTTTCAAAATGAAATGTAGCCTATGTCAAATTGGAAGAATGTAGCATTCGATTGGTGAAAGATTTTTTTAAATCGGCCCAGAACTTTTTGAGCCTATTCATTACAAACATATAAACATACAAAAATAGGTACAAATTCTTTCCTCTTTATAATAATAGTATAGATAGGTAATCATTCATTCATGAAGTAAATCCTGTCTCCCATGGGGTAGGCAGAGACTATGGAGCGCAAATTGCAATGATGCTTATTTGATCGCGGGACGATCTCCGGCCACCGTAAGCCTGGGCCATGGGT